GGGGGGTCGGGTAGCCATGGCTGACTGGGTGGACCTGGTCAACTTGACACCACTCCCAAACTGCTGGCATGTTTCCTCTTCGCATTGAGTAGACCAGGCCGAAGCCACACTGGCCTGATGTTTCCTCTTTGCACTGGAAAGACCAGGCCAAAGCCACACTGGCCCGATGTTTCCTCTTTGCATTGGGTAGATGAGGCCGAAGCCATGCGGGCTACCCCCTTACATTTTCCAGGACAGTCCGCAGGCCGGACCCAACCACATCACAGTCAGATGTTGTGTCTGACCACTGCCTTAAATGCTTCATTACACCTTTTATTCCCATGGGCTCCTAGAGCTTTCAATATCTATATTTTTTTCATGTTGCCATCTTCATCATTGTTAATTGCTATTAAGACTTCTGGGAAAGGGAGAATGGAAAAACCTCATCCGGAAATACATTGCTAAACGATGTGTAGAAAATAGGATAAGAAAAGACAGGACATGTGCCTAGCGAAAACTTTATCATGCAATTGCCTTGTCCCAGGCAACAGAACAGAATATATAAGACACCTTAATTTTTTGGTTTTTAATCCTCTCATGTCTTCCTCCCAACAGTTAGTTTCATTGTTATCTTTCTTTGCTATGCAATATATCCATTGAAAACAGCTGCATGATACATGTATGTGTATCATCATCTTCATCATTATCATCATCGCCATTATCTATCTACTGCAGGATGAAGGCCTCTTCCACATGTTTCCAACCTATATGGTCCTGAGTTTTCTTTTGCCAATTGGGCCAGGGGTGGGATTCTACCAGTTCGGACCAGTTTATGTGAACCCTTTGCTCCGAAGATCAGCTGGCAGCGAACTGATTCGCTGAGACGAGCATGTGAGCCTGCCAGCCTACCCCTGCGCTTTATTTCCTTTTTTTTAGAGCACAGCTGATTCGTGTGGCAGAGTGTTTTGCCGCGCCTCAGCTGTTTGATTCACAGGGACTGCAGTAGAAGGCAAGTATTAAGAGTTTTTTTAAACCTGGAGCGCGCGCGTGCGATCACCGAGCCAGTTGTTATACTGGTGGAATCCCACCCCTGAATTAGGCTCACAATGGTTGCTGATGTCATCGACCCATCTTTCTCTTTCATGGATGCTTTTTATCAAGAGGGATCTATTCTATGACTGCCTCAGCCCACCTGCCATCAGTTCTTCTTGCTATGTGACCAGCCCATTTCCATTTCAATTATTTTCCTCTCTTGATGGCATCATATACTACTGTTTGTTCTCTAATCCATGTGAGGGTCTTTCTGTCTTGTCTGGTGATGTTGAGCATGTATCTTTCCATGGCTCTTTGTACCACTCCTAGATTTTGTATCGATTGCGAGGTTCGTATCCAGGTTTCATTGCATATGTTAGAGCAGGTAGCACAAACTGATCGAAAACTTCTTTTCTTTCTTTTGTTTTTCAGACATGGGGGAGGTTGTTCTTGAAAATTATGCTTAGCTTGCCAAATGTATGTGTATACGTATTACGTGTGTGTGTGTGTGTGTGTGTGTGTGTGTGTGTGTGTGTGTATGCTCCCTAAGAAAGGATTTTTTTAAATGACCATCAGAGCATTAGTATTTTGTATATTATTATTAACACGCTCTGATGCTAAGGAGTTCTACTTTCCCTTCCCACCTGAAAAGAAATCTCTTCCAAATGCAAAACACAAGCAGAGGAGAGGAGTTTCAGTTTCAGTTTTAGTTTTACAGCACCAAGCATCTTTAGTACAGAATAGTTGAGCTAAGCCACTCCCAGGCTCCTTGCTGTCTCCTTCTTGCTCATACAGCAAATACTGTTTCAGTTTCCATGTTTCAGTTTCCGAACAGTCCTCAACTCTTTCACATACTGACAGGATGCTAGCCAGATGAATACCAATAGATGCTGGTAGGCAGAAGCACAATTTTCCCCCCTTATTTTTCCCCCCCAAAACTAAGCTGGATTACATAGTTTCATAGCGAAGCACGGGTGTAGAGCTAGTGTTTGTGTGTATATGTGTGTGCGCGCACACACACCATGGTGCTGCAGTGGTTAAAATGCAGTACTGCTGGCTACTTCTGCTGACTGCTGGCTGCCTGCAGTTTGGCATTTCGAATCTGACCAGGCTCAAGGTTGACCCATCCTTCCATCCTTCTGAGGTGGGTAAAATGAGGACCCAGATTACTTGGGGCAATAGGCTGACTCAGCTTAGAGAGGGATGTAAAGTACTATAAAGCGGTATATAAGTCTATGTGCTATTGCTGTATATTTCAAAGGAACAATAAAGTGCAAATTAACAACCTGACTAGAAAGTGGGAGATCATGAGTTCATATCCTGCCTTGGCCATGAAAGCCAGCTGGATGACTTTGGGCAAGTTACTCTCTCTCAACCCAACCAATCTCACATGATTGTTGTTGTGGGGAAAATAGGAGAAAGAAAGTGTGTTGGCCTTATTCACCACCTTGAGTTACTTAAAAAATAATAAAGATGGGATACAAATAAATAGATTAAGAGAGAAAGGGGATAAAAGGAAAAGTTTTAAAAATGACAAACAATACATAACTTCCCTCTCATCCTCTAGAAACTGTAACAGTGATCTCCAAGCTGCAAGAAATTTAGTCAAATTGTTGTCCCTAATTAAAGCAATAGATTTCATCACCTCAGCTAGCTCTATCAAATCCATTCTTCTATTGTGGGTAGAGGTGGTATTCAGCAGGTTCTGACCAGTTCTGGAAAACCAGTAGTGGAAATTTTGAATAGTTCGGAGAACCTGCAAAACCACCTCTGACTGGCCCTGGCCCCATCTATTCTCTGCCTCCCTCCCATTGAATCCCAGTTGATTGGTTGGGTCTTCTTTGGTTGCCCTGCACAGGAGAATGGAGCTGGAAAGCAGGTTAATGGGATGGGGAGGGAATGGGGATTTCGCAGTATCCTTCCCCTGCCATGCCCACCAAGCCATGCCCACAGAACCAGTTGTAAAATTTTTTGAAGCCCACCACTGATTGTGGGTATATGCTTCACCTATCTTTGTACATACAATATCCTTGCAACTGATGTAATGGGTAAAAATCTCAGTTATCCAGGCATGATTGTCCCAAAGATGTTTTTTCAGGAAGCAACTGATCTTTCTTGCTTTTTCTTTTGAAGACATTTCACTTCTCATCCAAGAAGCTTCTTCAGCTCTGACAGGATAGCAGGGAATGGAAGGATTTATATTCCTTGCAGACAGCTGGTCATTTAAATCCTTTTAGCAGGTGCTTAAAGCACTAGGAGCTGTCAGAGCTGAAGAAGCTTCTTGGATGAGAAGCAAAAATGTCTTGGGACATGTGTAAACATGTTTCCATGTTGTCTTTCCACTTGTTTATCCATCTTCCCTATGTTGAGCTCCGAGTTCACCCAGAGCCCATCAGCTCTGAATATGCCACACAGCAAGTCACCTTATCTCTGCTGCTGCCGGATCTGTATTTCTGCTTGTGTGCTGGCTGATGGCTTTGGAATGACTCAGCAGAGCTGAGGATTGATTCTGCAACAACTGCAAGGCTGCAGGATGGATTCTGCAACAACTGCAGGGCTGCTGGAACTGGCTCTTTACTGATGTGGTGCATATTGTTAAAGAGGGTTGGGGCACATATAGGTGGTAATTAGGACTTAGGTTAATACATGGTGAAGGTGGCACCAGGTGAGGATCAATTATTGAGGGTCGTAATAGGGTAGGGATGTAGACATGTTATAGGTTTAATAGCATTTAGGGATAATGGCAGGGGTAGGATTCTACCAGTTCACACCTATTCACTAGAACCGGTTGTTAACATTCTAATCAGTTTGGAGAACCAGTTGTTAGAAGAAATTACTGGCTTAGTCCTGTAAGGAAGGCAGGAAAGAAACATTCTGGTGTTGCTTACAGAAACTGCCTCTCCGTTAACCCTTATTACATTCTTGGCAGGACTTGACTTCCTATCTCAGGAACTTCTCTGGAGTTTTTTCCCCCTCCTTTGCTGGTACTTTGCTTGCATGGAGTGACTATTCAAAGTTACAATGACACTGAAAAAAGTGACTTATGACCATTTTTCACACTTATGACTGTTGCAGCATCCTCACAGTCATGAGCGGGCAGGTGAGGAGATGCATGCCTCAATGTGAGTGATGTTGAGTTGGCCAAGCCCAGCCAATAACATGATCAGCAAGCCATGCCCACCAGCTTAACCACACCCAGAGAACTGGTTGTTAAAAAATTGGAAACCCACCCCTGGTTGCAATGTCCCACCATCATGTGATCACCAATTGCGATAAGCAAAGCCAATGGGGAAGCTTAAAAACCAAGTTCCTAACTCAACAACAGCAGTGATTCACTTAGCAAATGTAGCAAGAAAGATTGCAAAATGGGACAAAATTCACTTAACAATGGTTTCACTTAGCAACAGAAATATGGGGGTCAATTGTAGTCATAGGTCGAGGACCATGTCTACTTGCTGACTAATGCTGGACCTAACTCTAATGGCTAGGGCAGTGATGGTGAACCTTTTCGGCACCCAGTGCCCAAACCGGAACATGCATCCATGCACCTGTGCTGGAGTGCTGGAAAACTGAAGACCTGGCTGGTGCACGCATGCCTGTTTTGGGTGCATTTTGGGAGCTGTTTTCAAGCCATTTGGGGGCTATTTTCAGCCCCCAAAACAGCCTGGAAATGGCCTGGAAAATGGCCTGAAAAAGGCCTGAAACCAGCCTGGTTTGGGGGCAATTTTCAGGCTGTTTTCCGCTGCCTGTGAAGCTGGCTGGCATGCATGTGCGTGCCTGAAACCAGATGGTGGTGGCAAACATGCCCACTGACAGGGTTCTGCATGCCACATCTGGCACACATGCCAAAGGTTCACCATCACAGGGCCAGGGAATGCCTTGACCTCATGAAGGAAAAAGGCAGACTTTAGCTGTTCAGCTTCTTTAAAAAAGCTTCACGATTTGATCATTCCGGATAAATAATTCTTTTTAAATTTCTCTTTTAATAGCTCAAGGTCTTGTTTGCAATGTTTGTAAATACAAAGTGGGCTTTGTGTGTTTGAGATCTGGAGAACCGTGCAAACCTAAGGATGGCCAACTATGCGAAGTGGCTGAAGTTTATTTAGGTATGAACAAATCCAATATCTTTCTTTACTTTATTGTCATTGCACCTCATACAACGAAATCAAGCACTATCTTCAGTGCACATCATGATCATGAAAATAAACACAAACACACATCCTCCATACTCCACACATTGAATTGAAAACCCGCGACACCACATCAACACTGCACTATACAGTAGAATTCAGTAGAGTTACTACCCTGGGTTAGAAGCTGTTTTTCAGCCTATTTATCTTTGTTTTTATTGTCCTGTACCATCTGCCAGATGGTAATAGTTAAAAAAAAGGGTGCCCAGGATGAGATGGATCTTTGAGAATGTTTTGAACTTTCTTAAGGCAGCAGGAGCTATAAAGCTCTTCCAAAGTGGGGAGAGGGCAACCAATGATCTTCTGGGCAATGATGTTAACCAGAGGTGGGATCTGACAGGGTTAACTACCAGTTCGGTCATTTACGAGGTTTGGTGATTTATGATGTGTTTCCCTGCATGCTGCGTGGGCGCTCCTGTAAATCGTCATCAGCATGCTGCATGCAGAGAAGCAGCCTTTCAAAAAGCCCCCTTTTCCTGCTTTTTTAACTGCAGCTGTGCCTCGCATGGCAGCGGAAGTTGAAAAAATCAGGAAATAAAGGTCAGATAAGAGCTTGGGTGGGCGGGTGGGCAAAAACATCAGCAGACATCAAACCGGTTCTATGTCTGCTGCTCTTCAGAGCTACCAGTTCTACAGAGGTGGACAGAACTGGTAGAAACCCACCCCTGATGTTAACCCTCTGGAGTTAACTGCTCTCCTATCTGCCACAGTGCAATTGGGAAACCATACAGAGGTGCAATAAGTTAAGATACTCTCTATGGTGCAGCGGTAGAAGGTCACCAGCTGTTTTTCACTCAGTTGTTGTTTCCTGAGAAGTCTCAGGTAGTATGGTGATTGAGGCGAATGCCTAACCGCATCGCTGAGACTGAGTGTGGGGTCTGGGGCCAACGGAGCTACAATCTACCTCAACTAGGACTGCTGAAAGATTTTGGAAGGTTCTGAGAACCAAGAAATTGCCAGCAATCATGAGAGTGAGCCAGGACATCATCCCAAGCAGAGAGCCTAAGACTCCATTCCGTAGGACGCCATTCCGAATGGATGTGACCTGAAAGAACTGGGACTGGTGGATAATGAATAGGATGTGCAAAGATTAAAGAGCGGAGAGTGCATAGTGATAAGAGCCGACACAAGCTGTGAATAAATGAGAGCGGAGAGTGGATAGCGGAGAACGGATACAGATAGGAGCTGGGACGAGCTGTGTTTAGATGAGAGTTTGATTCAGACACTTATAGAGAGACTGATTCTGGGAACGAAGATTGACTGGTGTAGTGTGTGAATCTGAACTGCAGAGAAAGAGATGAAACTGACAATCCTAAACACCCAAAAGGGAGTAGGGACTGGAGGAGAGCAGGAGACTGTCATTCTAAATGGCCGCTAATTGGTGAGAATAAAGGAGACTCAAGGAGAATTGATAGTCTCCATATAAATCACCCAACTCCATTTAAATCACCCAGCTGATTAGTCATCCTGAATTTAAATTCCCACTCAGCTGATTGGACCACCTCCACTAAACCCCAACCCAAATCTCATCCTTTCCAAACTCCAAAGTAGATGATTGGTGAGCTCATTCAAATCTTCTCCATTTAAATCTATCAAAGAGCAATGCTTCCTCTTTAAAACAAAAACAAAACAAAAACCAAAAAAACGTGGCTTTAAGGAAAAACAAAGGAACTTTACACAACAAACCACCAATACTTCATTACCTCCACTATTTCAGTACCTCAAGTCCAAATATTTATAGATAATACTTTGTCTATAATAATTGATTTATCATATAATAGTATAATAATTAATTGTTAAATGACCACTAATTTACTGATTCATTGAATTGATAATTTAATACTGTATCATTGATTATCTAGTCGATTGATTGATTGATTCTTAGTAATGATTGATTGATTTTTAGTAATAAGTAACCTTACTTTTGATTTGCTCTCTAACTTATCAATTAACATTTATTAATTACCAACATTCATTAAGTAACTGTCTACCTATCACATTAATTAATTATTGTAATTGTTTAGTGTACCATTGTCATTGACCATGCCAGCCAGAAACTCCATATCCTCCACTACCAAACAACAAAGAAATAGTATCTCTAACAATGACCTCCCAGACTCCTGTACATGCTTCAGATGTCTTAAAACCATCAATGAAAGCGAAAATAACATCAAATGCTACCTATGTGACAATCAAGCCCACCTTGCCTGCTTAAACAAAGATGTAGCTGATATCCTAAAAGCATCAGATACATTCCCTGATCTATGTCCATCATGTTTTCCTAAGCTAAACAAACCAAGTACCCTGCCTGACAGTTGATAGCATAGAATCACTCATGCACTCAATAGAAAAATGCTTAGCAACACATTTTGAAACAATTATACATGAAAGCCTAATTTCTCTTGAAAAAAAAATACAGCACTGATAAACAGCTATCTATCAGCTCAAAATCAAATCCCAATCCAACAACCACAACTACTACCTCAACTATAATCACAACTACAACCAAAAATAACCACCAAACCACAACCACAAATAATTATTATCCCATCAAATAATTCCACAAATGATATTTCCTTACTCATCAGAGACATCATGGAACATGATCAGAAATGTCCAAATGCCATCTTATTTGGTCTTGAAGACACCAACAAATCAGATGACATCACCAAAGTTCGTAATAACATAAGCAACTCAAATACAACAAGCATCTCTCCTGAAGATATCATTGAAATAACCAGAGGTGGCCCTGAGTTCAAATACAATGATGGCTCAGTGGCCCAAAAATTTTGTAGAGTTGTATGCAAAAATGAGTCCAGCAAATGCATATTCATTCATACAATAAATGCCATTGCAAAAACCAATCCCAACCACAAAAAAACTTTGCTCAAGACCAGACTTATCCATACTGCAAAGAATCCACCCCTGTGAACTCTGCAATTAACTCAAAAGACATCTAGACAATGGAGAGAAGAATCTGTACATTAACTACCACGCTGATTGTATCGAAAGTAAGTCACACAACCCACAACTCCACATCCATCCCTTCCTCATCCAATCCACCATCACTCAAAACTAGGCACGCACGTCCCTAACTACCTCAATTCCAACTACAACTGGTCTTAAATGCAAGCTACTCAATGCAAGAAGCCTTGTGAATAAAATACCTGAATTTCTCTTCTTTCTAAATATGGCTAAATTTGACATCATATTTGTTTGTGAAACATGGCTCAATGCATCTCTCTCTGACTCCATTACCACAGTAAGAAACTAGCATGTTTACTGATCAGATCGTGAAATCTGTAGAGGAAGTGGTGTTGGTATCTCTTATAAAAAGTCCTTACATCTAAAAAACATCCAAGTTACCCAAGAGCTTGCTCTTCCTGAGACCATCATCTGTGAATTGTCCTTAAATATCACATTTCAGTTCTTACTATGTTACAGAGCACCTGATTATGACATTGAACATGTAAACAAGCTAAATACACTACTAACATGGGCAACATCCTACCCACACACTTTAATATATATGACAGCTTTGTTTAGAGTTACAATAACTTTATTGTCACTTTGAATGTACACCAATGGGCATACATTAAAATGAAATTATGTTGCAGACAGCTCTCAAAGAATCTCCACCTTTAATATAAACATAAACATGACAAGATGAATAAATAAATACAAAATTATGCATGTACCCACATAATTTTGTATTTATTTATTTATTTATATATATAAAATTTCCAAACAATAAATACTTTCCAATCAGATAATTTAATAATAATAATCTCCAATCAAATTTCCAATCATGTAATGATCTCCGCATCAGCTCACAATTGGCATCTGATTTGTGTATTGTATGAAGTAGCATAAACCTTCTCCAACCAACCAGCTACTAATCCAATAAATGTAGACCAGAACTAAGCCTCCAGCTGTCCCAAAGGTGGGTTTTTTTTTCTTCAAAAGACAATTGGACTTTCTTGGTTTTTTTTCTTTCAAAATGTTTCGCTTCTCAACCTTTGGGATAACCATGAACTAGATGATTGCGAATCTCCATAGACGTTAAATTTCTAGCTTTCATTAATCCCAGCCAAATGGCAAGCTTTATAGCAGGGGTGTCAAAGTAGATTTCATTGAGGGCCGCATCAGGTTTGTGTTTGACCTCTGAGGGATGGGGTGAGCGTGGCCAGGGTGGGTGTGGCCAGAGTGGATGTTGCCAGCCCAATGTCACTCATGTCGGGGGTGCCTGTGGTGTCCCGAGCACTCTGCCAGAGAAAATGGGCTCCCAAGCTCCATTTTCAGCTGTAACGTCCTCCTGCAACCCTCTGCCAGCAAAAACGGAACTCCGTTTTCACTGGCAGAGGCACTTTGGGCCGGTCCTTCACTGCTTCCAGGGCAGCCCCACAGGCCAGATTTAAACACCTTGCAGGCTGAATATGGCCCACAGACCTTAAGTTTGACACCTCTGCTTTATAGGTATTGAACCAAGTATAGCAAACTGGAGATTTGTATGCATCGATTGAGTGAGGATGTGCAAATAGATGTGAGCCAGTCTAAAAATATATTGGGGATTTGAAGGCGGGGGGGAAACACTCCAGAGTGTCTCCAGGAAGAGACTAATCTGTATGATGCAGAGATGTAATCTCAGTTTTTTGTATCTCACGTTTCTGTTTTGTTTTTGTTTTTTCTTCTTCCCTCAGCTGGCTTTCTGTTCTTTAGAAGATACGGGTGTGGTGAATATAGAGAACTCTGCGGCAAGACCGAGAGGAGGGACACTCCCTTTAGAAGAACCTACAAGCGTACGTGCTGCAGCACCGACTTATGCAATAAGGATTAAGCTTCAGCTTCCAATGTTTAGCACAGCTCAGTTTGGGAAGGCGGGGGAGAGCTGCAATGCATAAAGGTTGATCCTGATGTGTTCTCTCTCTTTTTTTCCCCCTCTTGGCTTAAAAGAAACACCCAAATTGTTCTCTCATCCCCTTGTCTTGTTGTTGTCCCTAATTACACAAGGACATGGTCTCACCTTCCAACACTTTGTGATCATAATGGCAGCTCACGCATCATAATGTGAGCCCTTCGGAAGAAACATGCTAAGGCCACCTGCTTTCCGGGGGCTCACTTAAGTCATTTTTGAGGTTGGATGGCATCTCCTCCATGCCCTCCGGAAAAAATATACGGCTTTAATCCACTATCCCAAAAGTGCTTTTTCAGGAGGCAATTGGACTTTCCTGGGTTTTTTCCACTTATCATCCAAAAAGCTTCCTCAGCTTTGACAGGACAGTGGGGAATGGGAGGATTTATATTCCTTGCAGACAGCTGGTCATTTGCATCCTGTGAGTACAGGGCTGTCAAACTCAAGGCCTGTGGGCCGGATCCAGACTGCAGAGTGCTTAGATCTGGCACCTTGGAAACAGTGAAGGACTGGCCCATGGTGCCTCTGTCAGCAAAAATGGAGCCCCCTCCCGAGCTCCATTTTCGCTGGCAGAGGGTTGCAAGAAGATCTCCCCATCCCCATCAAGGCCACCACAGGTGCCCCCGACATGAGTGATGTCAAGCTGGCCATACCAACCCTGGTCAAATCCACCCCGGCCCTCTCAGTCCCCCCCCAAGGTCAAAAACAACCCTGATCAATGAAATTGAATTTGACACCCCTGTTTTATAGGGTCATTGAAGCACTTTAGGTTTATCTGTGTCCTCAGGACTTTTAGCTATACAATTTGGGATGGACACCCTTTGAATGGTGCTGGAGTAGGAATGGATTTCTCCCCCCACAGATCCTCCCCGCCCCCCCAAATTGCAGACTACGGGAACCAGGAGCACTACTTCGGGTGAACTGAGGATACAGACAGGGGTGGGTGTATGTTCGCAGACAGGGTGTATGTTCGCAGGGGTTCGGGCGATCCTCTAGCTAAGATCCTGTGTGGTTTGGCAAACCTGCAAATCCTACCCCTGGCTGGCCCTGCCCACCCCCACCCCCCCAGGAGTCCCCACATGGCCTGTTTTGGATGCCAGGTAAGTACAGGGACTGTGTGGAGGGTCAGGGAGGGTGAAAAATGGGCCTCCCAGAAGTTCTGGAAGGTCAGAAATGGGTCCGTTTCTGGTCTCTGGAGCCCAGGGGATGACATTTTCACCTACCCAGAGGCTTGGGCAAAGCTTCTGGAGCCCGGGGAGGGAGAAAATGCTCCCTCCCGCACCGTGGTGCAGGAGGCCAACTAGGCCATGCCCACCATGGCCACACCCACCCAGCAACCGGGCAGAGAACCAATTGCTGACATTTTTGAAGCCTCTGGATACAGATAAACCTCCAAGTGCTTCAATGACCCTCTAAAAGGATGCAAATGACCAGCTGTCTGCAAGGAATAGAAATCCTTCCATTCCACACTATCCTGTCAGAGCTGAAGAAGCTTCTTGGATGAGAAGCGAAACATTTTCAAAAGGAAAAAAAAAAGTCTTCTGGGACTTTTGAAAAAAAAAAAAGCACTTTTGAGACAACCATGACCTAGATGAGAATCTCTACAGACCTTTAGTCCACTAAGGACTCAATTGATTATTGTATTTGGTAGCACCCTGAATTTCTGCTCCAAACCAAACCCTAAAGACACCATCCCCTTGCTATTATTTCTGACTCCCTAGAAAATGTTTAAGCTGCAGCATGGACTGTGTTTGCTTGATGGCTTACAAGTCACCTAAATCCATAGACAAGACATTATGGGATGGAATGGAGACATCCATAGAACGAAAGTGACCGAAGGAATGCCAAAGTGCATACACACACACACACGCACACACAGTGTGCACCGCAACATCAATGTACTTTTGTCTACAGCATCGGTGGGGAATGCTTGTTAGGTGATAAAAATGAAAGATGCTTCTTTCATTTTTGCGACATCTGAACTTATATAAGGATCTTGTATATAAAGAGAAGAATGTGCTGGCTTGCCTTTGTGTTCTGTATTATTGCTCTTTTCGTGTAATGCTCTGATATTGTACAGCTTGCTATGCTAACCTCTTTGGCTTGAAGGAAAAAATAAAACTGATTAACTGACCATTCCTCTTCCATCTAAGCTTTTTTTCTTCTCCAAGCCAGGATTTGGTAGTTTGGCAAAAGGATCTTATGATAAGTGATTCATTCACCAATGATTTCCAATTCCCAATTATTTAATGGTTGAACAGTTGATTATGAACCATCAAGTCATTGTCAAGTTGTAGTGACCACATAGCCCTTCAGCTCTTCCAACAGCATCCTCATCACAACTTTAATTCAGTCCTTCCAGCTTGCTGCTAGTCATCATCTTCTTCCCCTTCCTCCCACCTACCTTAACATAGGAGTTGGGTCTTTGCAGGGTCCAATCTGGATCAGTCACTGGGACCAGAGAGTCTTTGTATGATGTGTCAGAATAATTTGAGCCTGGTCAATTAGCAGAAGTCTCAAATTAATAAAAATCCCCCATTGGGTTTGAGCCACATCCTAATTTCACTTTACCCTCTACCAACAGTCTCTTACCTCCCATTAATGGGTACCCTGTTTGGGGGAAACGAATTAAATCTTGGAACCTATCCATACCTACTTTCGGACCCAGGAGAGACATTATTCAGAATATTTCTGGAATGACCATTGGTTGCCTCACCGGAATGTGAGAAGAGTTATATAAATACTAAGGCTGTAAGGGCTGCATATAAACTCATGCATATAAACTCATGTTAAAGTAAAGTTAAAGGTTCCCCTCACACATATGCCCTAGTTGTTTCCGGCTCTAGGGGGCGGTGCTCATCTCCGTTACAAAGCCGAAGGGCCAGTCCTGTAGGAAGACGTCTCCGTGGTCATGCCGCCGGTGTGACTAAACACCACAGGTGCATGGAACGCTGTTACCTTCCCACCAAAGGTGGTCCCTATTTTTCTACTTGCATTTTTATATGCTTTCAAACTGCCAAGTTGACAGAAGCTGGGAGAAGTAACAGGAGCTCACCCCATTACGTGGCGCTAGGGATTTGAACTGCCAAACTGATTGCCAAGCTCAGGGTCTTAGACACTGAGCCACTGTGCCCCTAAATATAAAAAATATAAATATAAAAAATATATTTTAAATACTCATGTTAGGTTGCTACAAATTACAGCTGATCCGTCTTGCAAAGATATACTCAGAATTAAAGAAGAATGATGGCCATTCTGCTCTGACTTTTAGAAACAAGAGTGCTCTAGAACAGGGGTCTTCAAACTTGACAGCTTTAAGACTTGTGGACTTCAACTCCCAGAATTCATCTTCCAATCATGTTAGCTCAGGAATTCTGGGAATTGAAGTCCACAAGTCTTAAAGCTGTCAAGTTTGAAGACCCCTGCTCTAGAACATCCCTTTAAAGGGGCCTTCCTGTGGAGCTTTGAATCGTTTGCATAGCTCTAACACAGGGCTGTCAAACTCATGGCCTCTTTTTTAATTACAATTTTTACTATTATAAATATTTATTCTTTAGAACTTTATTGGCTTTTAATGCTATGAGCTGTCCAGAGTCACCTTGAGGTGAGATGGGTGGTGAGCAGATCTAATAAGTAAGCAAGCAAGTAAATAAGTGAATAAAATCTAGTCAATTCACATAGAAATCAAACTGGCTAGACATGCTGCCCTCCTCCTACTGCACTTTCGATTATCTGTTTACTTATTTCTAAACCTATGGGGTGGCAACAAGTTTCTATAGTTTGCTGGTTGTGTTAATGGGAAATTCCAAGACCTGGTATGATGTCCCAATGTTTCTGGAAGATAAGAATATACGGAGGACAAAGGAAAGTAGCATGATTGCATGTGCATCCATAGGCAGAGGCTATGGATGAAAGCATTCCACATACTTGGCAACTATGCCTCACTTTTCATCATCTCAAAAGAATTGCTTAATACATGTTCCTGCACATTGCAAATGATCTTTCAACGTATGCACACTGTTCCAATCTAGGCATGAGAACACAACCAATTGTTACTCTGGCACTAGGCTCAGGTGCAACCTTTATTGCATGAATAAGTAAACAGAAAACAGAAAATTAGTTTGAACCCCTGTAAACTGAGGTGGGGACAGGGTGGCTCAATGACTAAGACACTGAACTTGTCAATCAGAAAGGTCAGCAGTTCAGCGGTTTGAATCCCTATCACCACGTAAGGAAGTGAGGTCCCATTACTTGTCCCAGCTTCTGCCAATCTAGCAGTTCAAAAGCATGTAAAAATGTCAGTAGAAAAATAGGGACTACTTTGGAGGGAAGGTAACAGCATTCCATGTGCCTTCGGCATTTAGTCCTATCGGTCACATGACCACGGAGAAGTCTTTGGACAGAGCTGGCTCTTCGGCTTTGAAGTGGAGATGGGCACTGCCCCCTAGAGCCAGAAATGACTAGCACATATGTGCAAGGAGAACCTTTAGTGATTATCTAGGCAAAGACATCCAGGTTGTCCAACGTGCCAACAAATATATTTCACACTGAATTTCTTTTTCAACAAACAATTAATTGCAATGGCTTTATTCCATTATTATTTGGGGAGGGAGGAAGGATATCTATTTCTTCTGAGTTTCCAGAATTCTGACATTTGATAAGATTCTAATTAAGTTGATGGAGCTGACTAATTTCACATATTAAAATAGATTAAACCCTACAAATGAAACTACTGAGGGGGTAGGCATATTAAGCTATGGTATGGTTTGTTAAATAAATCACGAGCAGATTTACACACTGAATTGTAAAAATCATTTTTTTTTATAACTTATCCTAGCTTGATTCTTTTTTAAAAAAATGGCAAACAACGGGTTAGTTCTCAGAACTTCATCTATGGTGAAGGGGTTGGCTCCCAGAACTTCATCTTTGGCTTCATTAAACTTTATGCACACGTGGACAGATGCATGGATGCATGGGGAGTTATTTCAATTGCACCATGTTTTGAGCAGAGGAGCTAAATAAAGTTCACCAAAAAAAAAAAAAAAAGGGAGAGGTATGAGGGTCTAGAGTCTATCACCATCCATCCTCCTTCAATTGTTACCAATCCTCCTTCAATTGTTTAGCCAATTCAGGAAAAACATCTATATTTTGCTACCCATATACAAATAAGAATACCCATTGAATACTTCGATGCTGATATAACTGCTTAGTAGCATTTTTTGGGGGGGAGGGGAATGAATACACGGACATCTAACAATCTATTTGTCAGGGTTCCAGAAATTATCCGGTCCAATCAGTAACTCTGAGACAACC